ATAACACAATTAACATATCATATTTTTTAATGTTTTTTTCACATGCACAAATAATGGTTACAAATTTCCTCCTATCTACCTCAATACTTGATAATTTTATCGTCCGATTTTCGTAACATTTCAGTACGATTTCCTCGATTAATAAATTCTGGTATTCGAAAAAATTCCATTGCACCTCGACTTCGACAACGAATTCCAGAATGTACTCGTAAATTATCGGCATTCAGCGATAAATTGTTTTCTTCATTATTAGCTGGACGTCTCTGACACTGATTGTAAAATAGGATACGCAAGGTTACACGGGTTATTATAATGCTTTTATAAATTAATAAACAGAAAGGAAAGTATATGAAAAACATATATTATTGATAAGTTTCCGCCCTTTTTTAATGAAAAAGAAGTATTTATTTAAACAAAACAATACAAAGTAAGTTCATTCAAAGTATGCTCCATCAGAAGCGACAACTTTCCCCCACCTTTCAGGTAATAAACAGATTCCTCGAAGGAAGAAATCTGGTTCTTTTGAAGCGATCCATTTATCAAGCCATTTTTTGATATCTTCATAAGAATTGAATCGCTCTCCAGAAAGGGCCGACAGCATGGACCGGAATAAATGGAAATCTGAAGGAGAAATACACTGTTTAGTACACATAAAATCACATTTTACACAGATTGTTGTATTTTTCCTCACAAAATCAATATATTTCTTCTGACGAAATTTCTGATCACTTTACAACTTCATTTTTTTTTTGGAATTGACTAACGTTTCAATGTTGTTTCATTCGTTATCTCGAAAAAATACTAGCTAATAACTAAATAAAAAGAAAGACTCACTGTGTTTGATACCGACTGGCCAACATATCAGGAACCGGTTCTTGAATTATTCATGATAATGTTTGCGATATGCTTTGTAATCGTGGTGAGCGATCTTATTTGCGGGATAATTAATTATATTCTTGAAGTTTTTTGATAAATTAGTTTCCATATTTTCTAATTCGACATTTTCAATATTTCCCCTTTTTCATTTTTCCATTCTTTTTCTTTTTTGATTAATCCTAGCATTTAAATTCTCAATGTAGGAGAGCTCACTATGACAGGATAACTTTTAGTTTACATACAGGGTCATCGAAAAGTATCGGACCCCTTTAATATCTTCAGTTAGAATGCATTTTGGAGAAAATGTCCAATAGCAAAGTTGTATGGTTTCAAGCGAGGAGTAAGATAATGACCTTGACCATGTCCTTTAAGGTCATTTCAAGGTCAACCTTATTTTTTTAAATGGAACCCCCTACATTTTATTGCATATTTTTATAGCTTATCTCGAGAGCTTTCCAAAACACTATAATAAAACATTTTTTCATTAAGTACTTTTTGAGTTATAAAGGTTTGAAGTTAACAATTTTTTGACACAAAATGTAAAATAACTTGTAAAATATTATTTAGTTTTCAGTAATCATAACCTTAATACTTTTGTGCGCGGAATATTGAGACCAATTAATTGGTTTAAAGAAAATACATTAATCAAAAAGTGTCGGATACCCCTAGTATTTTCAGTAAGAATGCATTTCGAAAAAATGTCCAATAGCAAAGTTGTACGGCTTCAAGCGGTTATGCTAGTAGGCTACGGCGGGAAACTGCCCGAAGGTGATCGCGAGAAGTTGCTCGAATGCGTGATGTCCGAAGGCGTTAGCGGGAATCTGCCCGAAAGCGTTGGCGGGGCAGATCTTTATTCTCTCACTCTCGCAGGCACCAATGTACGAGCTCTTGAGCAAACAATACGGATCTCTGATTTTAATCTTTGATGTAGTGCTGTCTTCTTCTTAGCGAGCAGCAGTTACTTCGTGGACGAAAACAAACAGCCCCAAAAATTTTTTCTGTAACAAAAGAAGCCATTGCGCTTCAATTGATTTTCTCAAACATCTTCACTTTTGTTTCCAATAGCCCAGAAATTTTTCGTAAATATTATTAATTGATCTATTAGATTTTCAGTTGCTCAACGAGCTTTTTGCTAGTGCTGGTTGAAATAAACAAATCAATAGTTGAACCAACACTTAATAATTAGTTTTTTTTCTCTACTTGATTATTTAGATCAATTTCCTATCACTTACCTGATTAATTCTTCTTTGCTATAATTAAGAATGGCGGAGCTTTCTGAAAAAGATCGAATAACACTGTTAATTATGCGAGGATGGGGAGATCAACAAAGAGGATATAAAACAGTAACGTGATTATTTAATGAAAATTTTCGGAATGAAAATAATAGGATCTCTAAAAGTACTGTAATCCGTACTATTCAACGTTTCGAGGACATTGGTAGCGTTAAAAGTCGCTCAAGATCTGGTAGACGTAAAACAGCAACAAATAATGATAAGGCATTAGATGTTTTACAGTCTTTCGTTGAAAATCCCCATATTTCCATCAATCGCGTTGCACAAGAACACGAAATCGGTCATGCACCTGTTAGTAAAATTTTGATATTGAATAAATGGCATCCATACAAACTTCATTTGTGCCAAGAGTTATCCGAAGACGATTTTGATAGACGCATCGAATTTTGTGATCTTATGATGGAGATGATTGTCGACGATCCTCTATTACTTAATAATATTGTTTTCTCTGATGAGGCAACATTTGAACTGGCTGGAAATGTAAATAGACACAATTGTAGGTACTGGAGTGACGTTAATCTTCACTGGAAAAGAGACAATCATACCCAATATCCACAAAAAGTTAACGTATGGGCTGGTATTCTCGATGGTAGACCAGTTGGCCCTTTCTTCATTGAAAGCAATTTGACAGCACAGGTATACACAGTCATGCTTTGCGAACAAATTGTTCCAGCTATTCGAGACATAGCTGGTGGAAATATGGATGAAATTTATTTCCAACAGGATGGAGCTCTACCTCATTATGGTGTCATTGTCCGTCAATATTTGAACGAGGTCTTTCAGGACAGGTGGATAGGGCGAAGGGATCATATTGAGTGGCTACCTCGGTCTCCGGACTTGACCCCACTTGACTTTTTTTTGTGAGGTTACTTGAAAAGTAAAGTGTATGCCATCAAGCCTCAAAATTTAGATGATTTAAGAGGGAGAATAACTCGAGAGATAGAACTAATACCGCCAGAAACGTACCGGAATGCGGTTTCAGCTGTTTATAACAGATTGGTACATTGTCAGGCTGTTGAAAGGCAGCAATTTGAACATTTGTTGTGAATTGTTTGATACAATTGAATATTTTGCCCAAGTTGACCAATTGGAATGAAATTCGCCTTAACTGGCCGGACCCACACGCTAACTGGCCGGAATCACACGCCACTTAACAAATTGTTAATTTCAAACCTTTATAACTCAAAAAATACTTAATGAAAAAATGTTTTATTATAGTGTTTTGGAAAGTTCTCGAGATAAGCTATAAAAATATGCAATAAAATGTAGGGGGTTCCATTTAAAAAAATAAGGTTGACCTTGAAATGACCTTAAAGGACATGGTCAAGATCAAAGTCAAGGTCACCATCTTATTCCTCGCTTGAAACCATACAACTTTGCTATTGGACATTTTCTCCAAAATGCATTCTAACTGAAGATATTAGGGGGTCCGACACTTTTCGATGACCCTGTATGTTAGTTTGTGTTTGCTTTGAGGAAGGCTCAAAAAGTGAACCGAAACATGTATGCGCGTTTAGTGAATAAAGAAGTTTCATTCTTTATAAATGTATTATTTGCGCGACGTCTTCTGCGCCTGACTCCTAGTGCCCTTACTCTTTCCAATTCTTCAATATTTTTCAATATAATTTGCAACATAACAAGTTCAATATATGTATGTATTAATAAAATGCAAAATTACAAGTGGATCGCATTTATACTTTTCTTCCAATTTAAACAAAAAGAATTTGCACTTTTTAGATTGATCGAAGTGTACTACTCCTCCCTTAATATGTCGTGTATATATATAGGTACAATAAATAACTATGAATTAGATTACTCGTTGTATATGACGTTGCATAGATGACACATTATTGAAGATTCATATTTCATTAAAAATATGACATTGAAGATTCATATTTCATCAAAAATATTGGAAATTTATATTTTGTTTATAATTTTATTTCAAGTACACTTTTAATTGCTATTATTTAGTTCGAGGTAAACTTTTTAAATATCATAAAAAATTAGCAATAATTTCAAAAATCGTAATTTTAAATCTGTGATAGAAAATAAATATTATGCATATTGTGTGTATTACAATGAAGCTACTTTTTATCATTGTAACGTAACTATTTTTTAACATTTAAGAGCTTACAGGTCTCTCTCTCTCTCTCTCTCTCTCTCACTCTCTCTCAGCATAAATGATATTTTGTATTAGTATCATGTATTTTCTTTGTATTTTTTATTAACAATTAAAATTTAGTTATTTAATTTTTCTGTACCGTGTTATCCGATTTATAACAATTTACATTGATTATAAGTAAATTTAAATTTTAAAATTCCTCCGCGTTGTCATTCATGTTTAGCGCGTATAACTATAATGCAAACATTGTGACGAATTATGAACGATTCTGCATTGTTCAAGGGCAATGAAAACAACAGCGCAAGATTTAGGCAATCCGCATGCCGGGTCCTATTTCATGTTTCGGAACCCGACAACTTCCTGTTCTACGAAAATCGAACATAAAAAATGTTCACCGATGTAAAAGAACGAGAAGCGTATCGATGGAAATGCCTGCTGCATTTTAAACGCGTTCCAAACAGTATGTTGCCCCCGTATCATAAACTTTACATCGCAAATGTTGATGGCACATACATTTTCTACACCGATTTTTAAATAACACAAAGACTTGCTGGTCGCATTTCTGCCACCAACGAAAACGGAATGTTAACCAGATTTCATTAGCACATTCGACTTCACTATACTACGCGGCTGTAAATAATTCTACAAAAACTTAATCTCAGTTTTTTATGATACCATCTTAACGAAACTGTCTTTCTTTATTTTTTCAGGTGGATGAACGGAGACTGGAGTGCGTGTAGCGCAAGCTGCGGCGGCGGTTCGCGAACAAGGTCCGTCTTCTGTACCGAGGAAAACGGGAACGAAACCACGAAGGTAAATCCGGAAGAAAGACTCTTCAATAATAAAATTTTCGTTTAGTCAAGTTTTCTCCTTGACTCTGTGACGATCTCGGTGGAGTTTCAGAATCACTTATCTGAAACAAACGTTCGGTAACGCGTCGATTTTGATATTTCATTTCGTGCAAATAGTCTTGGCTGTCGATATTATTGGCACTTATCGTACACTTGACACACATTGTTATTTACAATCTCATTGTTATTCTTTATTTTATACGTATTTAATGAATACTATTATTTTTTATTCATTTCTTTTCTAATTAAAGAACTTTTCAACGAGAGAAAGAATAAAAAGTTTCTCATGCATAACATATTTACATTTGTGTGAAACATTCTAGTTTGAGATATCATAATTAAATTGTTGAAATTTGCCTGATGATATGAAAAATCAATACAATCATACCGACGATTAACACGATTTTGAAAACCCGGTTGTGTGTTCGCGTCTGCCTCTCAGAGGGATGTCAACGCAACGACGCATTTTACGATGTAAAGACAAATAAATCTTTCTAGAATAAATCTGCCAAGCGCCACGGAATCAGCGTTACGCGTGCACACGATAAAACGCCACATTTTTCACATTTCGCCACTGACGTTAGACACGGCCGTAATTCCGCCGCGCTTCCGCGCGGACGGAACGTTAACCATTCCTCTCATCTCGGGAAATTTTATGCCGTACTTTCATACTTGTCTGCGAGTCGCATTTACATACGCAGCCCTGTCCCGCTTTCCGTGACGATCTTGAAAGATCCCACGATCCCTAACCCAGTTCGGTTCGTTTAAACTCGAGGAGCTGCTCCACGAGTACACGCCGTCGCTCATCGTAAAACCTCCCCCATCCGACAGCTAGCTCTCACGCACACGTACATAAGACAGTGTACGTTAATATTTCACATATGCACGGTATCTTGCGCAGCATCTCTACATATCTTTCGAGAATTTATGTATCATATTTACGACTGATTTTTCATTAATAAAATATTTTTATCACAGTTTTTTTTTAAATATTGGCATTAAATGTTTTGATGATTATTTTCGAAGTTAAATTTCTGCCGAGACACGATTTAATTATTATGTTTATTACTTTGTGAGGACAATATTGCATTTTATCTTAAGTATCGAATAATTCTGCACTGAAGATAAAATGCAATATTATCATAATTTATAACTATAATTTATAATTTTTGATGCAACTATATTTTTTTGTAAAATTATAAAGATAATTATTATTATTAACATTATAATAAGAATAATTATAAAAATAAAGCTCCTAAATTATTTTACCAATGTAATTATAGTCATAAATATGGTTTTTCTTGTGTAATTGTCGACATTCTGTCGTTCAAACACACGTTGACACTTGTTGTCTAATATTCATAATGAAATTATTCAATTCTTAGTATGTCACATGCACTTGTAATTCCCTCATGCCTAATAATTAATATTTTAATGATATTATTAAATTCCAAAATTGAAAAAGAAAGAGAGAGTTATTTTCTAAAAGTAGCTAGTTGCAGTTACAGTTTTTTCTTTCAAAAAAAATAATTGTATTTAATCTAAAAATAATGTATAATGCCTATAAGAGCCGACACAGGATGAACGTGTGTAATAAACAATTTATTAATAAGTTAATATAAAAATATAGAGTAAATGTTTCGACTCTTCAGGTCCTCTTCAGTACAAACCAAATGGAATTATTTTAAAGTATGATAAATCTAAAAAACGGAATGGTTGCGAAGATTGTGTCCAGTCTTGTGACAATCACATCAATTTGGCAAAATTACTACGGAAAAAGAACAACGGATGCAAATTGAGAAAAAAATTGAAGCCAAATAATGTATAGAGAAAAAAAACACAAAAAGAAAAAAAATTAATTGTAGAAAAACTTACATGTCATGAAAGATTATAACGAGGCGACATGAGTTTCAAATGTGCATCCTGTCATTAAATTGGAAAATACACTACACAAACAACGTAAACTCATAGGCCCGTATTCAGAACGCGCTTACAACGATGTTAGTACACTAACATACTATACTTTACGTCACGTATATTATAGAATTTCAGAGATAAAAGTGCGCTTTTATCGATAAAAGCGCGTTCTGAGTACGGGCCATAATGTGAAGGATTAAAATTACACAGGTTTATAAAAATTATAGCTTACATGACAAATGAAATTGGAAGGTAGTCGTCGGTTCGGAATACCCATAAGAAATGAGAACATATCTCTGATCAAAGTCAAGAACGAGACAAAATACACTTCCAAACATATGTCGCAAATAACAGTTTGATGTTTAGTAAACGTTAAAGTGGAAAGAAAAGAACACATAGAGAAAGTAAAAAAAAAGAGAGAAAAGAAATAATAAGAGAAAGAATAAAATAAGAATAGATAAAAAAATAATAAAATTAAAATAAAGGTAAAAATAAAAATAAAAATAAAAATTAATGAATGAATATATAAATTATAAAAATTAAAAATAAGAAGTTAACAATAGATAAAAATAAAATAATAATAAGGATAAAGATAAAAATGAAAATAAAACTATAAATAAAATTTTAAAAAATTGACAAGAAAGCAATAAAAGGAAGCGCTACGTTTTTGTAAATAGACTTTCATATAATGGATCAAGACGTGTCATTCTGTAAATTTAAGCCGTGCTTCTGTTTTTTGATATAGATCATCTCAGATAAGTCTTTTATTCCAATTATTCTCTTTGTCTAAAATTTTAATGTTGTCCCAATCAAAATCGTGAGAAGCTTGTAACCTATATTCTGTTATAACCGAAGATTGAGAGGTATTTTTGTTAATGTGATTTTTATGTTATGTCTGAGATGATCTATATCAAAAAACAGAAGCACGGCTTAAATTTACAAAGTGACACGTTTTCGCTTGACCCATATACGAAAGTCTATTTACAAAAACGTAGCACTTCCTTTTATTGCTTTCTTGTCAATTTTTTATAATTTTATGTATAGTTTTATTTTCATTTTTATCTTTATCCTTATTGTTATTTTACTTTTATCTATTGTTAACTTCTTATTTCTAATTTTTATAATTTTTATATTCATTCATTTTTTATTTTTATGTTTATTTTTATTTTTACTTTTATTTTAATTTGATTATTTTTTTATCTATTCTTAATTTTATTCTTTCTCTTATTATTTCTTTTCTTTCTTTTTTTTTACTTTCTCTATGTGTTTTTTCTTTCCACTTTAACGTTTACTAAACATCAAACTGTTATTTGCGACATATGTTTGGAAGTGTATCTTGTCCAGTTCTTGACTTTGATCGGAGATATGTTCTCATTTCTTATGGGTACTCCGAACTGACGACTACCTTTCAATTTCATTTGTCATGTAAGCTATAATTTTTATAAACCTGTGTAATTTTAATCCTTCACATTATGAGTTGTTTGTGTAGTGTATTTTCCAATTTAATGACAGGATGCACATTTGAAACTCACGTCACCTCGTTATAATCTTTCATGACAAGTAAGTTTTTCTACAATTAATTTTTTTCTTTTTGTGTTTTTTTTCTCTATACATTATTTGGTTTCAATTTCTTTCTTAATTTGCGTCCGTTGTTCTTTTTCCGTAGTAATTTTGTCAAATTGATATTATTGTCACAAGACTGGACACAATCTCCGCAACCACTCCGTTTTTTAGATTTATCATACTTTAAGATAATTCCATTTTGTTTGTACTGAAGAGGATCCGAAACAAAGGTCGAAACGTTTACTCTATATTTTTATATTAACTTATTAATAAATTGTTTATTACACACGTTCATCCTGTGTCGGCTCTTATAGGCATTATACATTATTTTTAGATTATTATCTTGAGATATTTAATTAATTTAATCAATTTTTTGTTAATTGTATTTATATCGTTACAAATTCTATCATAAGTACGTACTGATTCTAAAATGAGTGAAAAATAGCATCAATACAATTATAATTACTTAAAAAGTAACGCGTCGTTTCAGTTACTTTTCTGAAAATTTGTGGTAATTTTTTGCATTGTAATTAATATGTACATATATACACTTGGAATCAAAATTATAGGAAATACGTTCACTGTTTCAAAAAGCTTCCACAGAGCTTAATTCTTAATTAATATACAGACATTTACAGAGTATAATGATTATCAGAGATAAAGGAATTATAATTTCAAGAAATAGTCATTAATTGTTCACTGAGCTTTTTATTTTAACCTATATGTTTTGACGAATAAGTTTGAAATATATAAAGTAACTATAAAAGTAACTACTATAAATTAGTTGATAATCACAAAAAATTTAACTAATTGTAAGTTAAGTTACGGTTACTGAAAAAATGTAAGTCTAACGATAACTTCGTTACACAAGTAACGAGTTACTTCCTTATTAAATTCTAATAGCTATAGTAATATTAAATTGTTGTTACAGCTACCCGATCACAAGTGTAGCAGCACGCACAAGCCGCACATTCAAGAGACCTGCAATACCGTGTCCTGTCCGATGTGGGAGACCGATAAATGGAGTGAGGTGAGAGTGCATGCACGATTCTACGCGAGAGTAAAACACGCCGGAATATATACGAAGACACGGCGCGGGCGCCTCGCTCGTATCATTTAAGAACGAAAACGTTAAGCCTTCTCGCCACAATCGCGGATTTAGGTGCACTCGTAAGGTCCAGTTGCAAACACACAAGCGCACACACCTAACCTCGTATGTACATGCACACATATACGATAGAGCTTGCTATCTCAACTGCGAGTTTTACTGCAAAACGTACTACCCAGATGGAAACAGGGTTAATGGTTGTGCGCGATTTGCACGCTCCCTTTATTCTTCAGGTAAATGTTACTAGGTTGTTACGCGTATGAAATGACCGATTCAGATAACTTGCACGTCTGGCGAAATTTTACTTTTAAATTTTGTCTGATTAATTACCTAAATCGCCGCGCGCGCGAAGTCGTAAATGTTTTTAATATAAGACTCTTAGAAATTGATCTTATGATATCGATTTCTTTAATTATTCTCTAATTGCAAACGATATCAAGATTACAAATAAGTTTCTTCTTTAATTTTTGGATAACCTGAACTAGGAAGAGATTATAATTATCGATACTTTGTACGATTTTAATAAAAATAACCTTTAATACTAGAAAAAAGTATTAGAATTTTTTATAATTACATACGTAATTAATGTTTGATTCCAATAACAGATTTATTTCAATTTCAATCTAATTCTTTATTCTAATTCTTTATTTCTAAAAGAAAGGAAACAGTAGTCGCACATAGCTTTAACTATATAATAATGAAATCTTTAATATAGCACAGTTGCAAAGTTAGTTCGAATCTATACGATAACATTACCGATGTATCCAAAGATTTCACAATTAGCAGATTAAAGGTTCCTCAAATAACTTCGTGTGCGCGTTACTCAAAGCACGCGTTAATTTATCTGCAAATGCAAATCCAGATTACGGTGTTATTACACGTTGGGGCACAAACGCGCGCAGCAAGGAAGCCTCTAATTGTAAAACTCTATTTCCATCCGTTGCCCTTTTCGACAAGTTACAACGTACTATGGCGTTTAAGGGTAAAACAAATTAACAACTGCGCGCGATTTACACGATGCGCGCTTGTGGCGACGGATAGTTCAACGCGAATTATACAGGAACGCGATCCTCCTCTTTCCGCAATCGCGATTTCGCATTTCTCCATTTCTCTACGGAGAGAATGCGATTTTCTCGAAAAGTCCTGCGTGTACAACCACCGTAATTGTACGTGGACGATGAACTGACTAAATACATAAAGTTGCCTCCGGCGAGAATGACACTCGCAAAGATCTTCATAAATAAAAGCAGCGGAGTTTTTAAAGTTAATCTGTACAAATATACTAGACTTAATACTTTCAATTCAGTTAAATGTCGCACAAACAAGTGATCTGTTTTTTCCCTCTCAAGTAAAATAAATTTCGTCTAACATTCTAATAAACTTTATTTTTCTTCAATTCATTAATCATCTAGAAGAAACTTGGTTATTTATTTCTATTCTATATAACGACTTTAAGTCGCTTCTAAAGCTCTTATCAAGAAATTACATATAGACCAAAACATTTTTTCAATTAATTGTACATTAATTTGAATCCGTTTTTTAACAAAACAATCACTAATTACAGCAATATGATCTTTTACTTATATCTAATATAATTTTTTATAAAAAACGATGTTTGACAGGGCGAATGAGAGCAGGGTAAAGTCGCCTATTATGAGATACCTTTTTTTAAAGGCTTCTAATTTATTTAATTTGTAACTTCAATTTCTACCTTCACGTTAAATTTATGGCAAATATATTTAAGTTTAATCATCAAAAGTTAGCAATCGATGATAGCTGTACTTTGTTGTATGTGAATTTTTTTATCAAAAGTACCGATTTTGATTATTCAAAAAAAGGGTTCCTAATATGTGAGATACAAACGTTTCCTTATATGATGTGTTATCTCATAACAGAAAACTAAGGAAAAAATAAAGATAAGCTTTTTATACACGCTTTTGCTATATTACATAAAAGTAGGAACAACAAATTTAAATGTTATATATATACATAATAATTATATAATTTGTCGGTATGTGCGTGCGTGCGTGCGTGCGTGCGTGCGTGCGTGCGTGCGTGCGTGCGTGCGTGTGTGTAGAGAGAGAGAGAGAAATCTCAACAATAATAGAATCGTCATTCTTAATATATCGTTCGCTAATTTGCTTTAAGATATTGAATTGTTTAAATGCTCTCATATTAACTATGAATACTGTGATCGTTCGGAAATCTACTCGTCAAGTAGAGTAAGGTTGGGTATGGGTAAACGTAAAACTCGATCAGAGTAGCACGACTTTTCGAACGCATAGGAGGTAACAATTGGTAACAACAATGTTTGAATCAGTCTGCCGAAGGCGCCGAAATAAAATATTAGTTTCTGCGGTAATAGCTGGCCGTAGATTATTAGAAATACTTTTGAATGTTATGAAAGAAATCGAAAGTGATGAAAGTGAAGATGAAGATTATGAGAAGATCTCTTTAATTGAAAATATTCAACGAATTCGAGGAAAACAACAGAAACCTGCACGTATAAGAGGTTACGTTGAACACGTAATTCCTCGTTATACCACTAAACAATTTCGACATCATTTTCGAATGACGCCTGAAACTTTTGAAAATTTGGAAAATCGTCTAGGACCAATATTATTTAATCCCGAAGCTTTAGGACGTCCAGTCATATCTGTGCGCATACAGCTTTTGTCAACAATCTGGCTTCTTAGTACACCAGATTCTTTTAGGTATATGGCACTTTTAACACTGAATGTAAAAATAACTAAACATTGATTAATATCTATCTACAATAGATACATATGCTTTTCTGTAGATCTGTGAGTGAAAAGTTTGATTTAGGCAAGTCTTCTCTGAATGACTGTGTCCGCCGTGTTGTCCAAGCTTTGAACAGTATTGGAAATGAAGTTATTAGATGGCCTATGGGTCAAAAATTGATAACTTCCAAGGAAAAATTCATGCTTATTGGAGAACATCCTATGCTTGGTGTAGTAGGAAGTATTGATGGATGCTACATATTTATAAAGAAACCAAATTTTGAGGTATTTTTACTTTTAACATTTGGCTGTGATTCAAATTATTCTGTTTTATTTGGAAAAGAAAATATATTTTGATATATTATACTTAGAATGTATAATATGTTTTGCGAGTTATCCTCGTTTCTAAATGAACATTGCACTTCACTTCTTATAGTATCAGAGTAAGAAACAGCTAGATACTAATAAGTGAACTGTAATATTCACGTAATATTGACATTCTAATAACAGATTTGGATACAGAAATAACTTGTAAAACATATAGCTTATGTATAGAAAATTTCTATGAAAGCCTTAAAAGTAAATATTAATTATTTGTAGGAAGTTGCTGTTCATTATAAGTGTAGAAAATTACAATACGCTGTAGTTTTACAGGCAGTCTGTGATGCAGATTTACGTTTCACAGATTGCTTTGCAGGTTATCCAGGATCAGTAGGAGACTATCGAATTTTCCGCAACTCAGATTTATTTAGAGAAGTTCAAAATGATCGATCTGTTTTTTTTCCCAATGGCGAGTTTGTTGTTGGTGATAAAGCATATCCTGTTTTAACATGGTGTGTTCCTCCATTTCGAAATAATGGCCATCTTACACAAGTAAGTCCTTAAGAAATAGAAACATAATTTTGCCTACACAAATATCCAAATTTTTCTACTTTCTGAATAATTCTGATTATTTAGGAACAGAAGATCTTTAATAAAGTAGTGTCACAAAAACGACAAGTTATAGAAAGAAGTTTTTGTCTCTTAAAGGGAAGATTCAGGCGATTAAAATTTTTGGACGTGTCTAGATTTGATACCATTTTTCATTATTGCAGCCTGTATCCTTCACAATATCTGCCTGGAAGGCATTGATAATGATATAGAAGAATTCATAGAAGAAGGAAGAGAATTTTATGTAGAAGAAAACAATGATGATAATGAAGATGAATTCAATAATGAAAGACATGAGTTTGACGGTGAAATTAAACGAAATTATTTATGTCTTCAAGTTTCAGGAAGACATTAAAAGTAAATCTATACAACATACTATGTTTTAATGCTATAATGTATTTTGGAAAAACTTACTTGTAATAAAGTATTTTTATTAATATAATAAAATATTTGTGCATAAATATTTCATATAGTGGACATAAAATTTCTACAATTTTTGTACATGTCTAAATTTTCTCGGATAACATTTTTTATTTTTTTAGGATTAGGATCAATATAAATCAAATAATAAGTTTGATATAAAAGGAATTTTAATTTAATTTCTTTATTATCATAAAATATACTTTTTGAATTATATTATAATATTAAGTATTAAACATATAAAAACTTATAATGAAACATACATTAAGTATTAAACATATAAAAACTTATAATCAAATTAACAAAAATGTTAACAAGTTTTGAAACCTAAAACTACTTTAAGCAGATAAACATTTCAATACGTAGATTGCCTGGTTTATTTTATCATTTAAAAAAACTAAAAAGTACAATATTTATAAGAAGCAATTGCAGAAAAAATTGCATTTGGTTACAAGTAAATTCGTAAACATAGTTATTAAATATAATATTGCATTTTATAATATATCACACATATATAATCAAATCTTGGCAGCTTAAACTTAATATAATATGTTATAGATATAACAATAAACAAAAGAAACTTTTAATTTCGCTACAATTTTAATAAATGTAATATCACATAAATATAATCTCTTTTAATTAATATAAAAATAAAACAAGAATTATTCATTCGTAGTAAAGACTACAATACAAAGAAGTCTTATTAAATCGCACATCAATATTGCAGCGAAAACAAATTAAATTAAATTAACTGTTTTTTTAAATAAAAATAAACTCACAATTTATCAATTAGTTTTTGCATTTGAGCTTCATAAAAATCAATAGCTCTATTGAAAGCATCTAACGTTTCCCTATGCCGATCCTGTCGAACTGCTTCTCTTACATTTGCATCATCTTTAAAGATTGATAACATTGAAATAGTCTCTTTCTGAAGCTTAATTTTCTTTTTTTTTTTTTGACTGATATTTTAAATTTTCTTTGTCAGAATCGGAATCAGAGTCTACAGCTGGCAAATTATTCGACTCACGAGAAGATGCAACACTTATTGGTTCAACACTTGGACTCTTTCTTAAAATTTCGTCAAGTTCGTCATAAAATTTACATGTCACTCTCGCTGCACCACTGCTTTTATCCCCCATATTATCCTTTACTTTCATGTATCCTTTCCGTATATTTTTCCATTTGTCTTCAGCTTGTTTCCAAGTATATCCAGTGAAACCGACATTTTCCAACTCTTTAACTATATTCTTCCAGACTTTTTCATTCCTAATGGTTGTACTTGTAAATTTAGAAGAACTTTTTTTCCAATGATTGATCAATTAAAAAAAGTGTAGCATCTCTTGACCACTTTGTACTATTTTTTGTAATCTGATTTAAACCTGACTTTATAACCTGTGGCTTTGACTTAAATGTAGGCATCAGAGTAGTTGATTTGGATGTAACAGACATCGAGGCAGTTAATGATTTGGATGTAGTAGGCATCGAAATAGTTAATGATTCAGATGTAGTAGATAAAGCTGATGAATCAGATAATGTAGACATAGGAAGAATTTCCAATAATATAAGATTATTTGGAGTCGCTTGACATGCACAAACTGAATTATCTGTAACAAAACAAGAATTGTAGCCTGAGTTGTAGTTCATTTTATAATCTCAACAAATATAATTGCTATATTAACATTATATATAAACACTATATATTACATAAACACTGTAATAGTCTTATGTATATGTTATATAGCAGTTGTATTCATGATATCTCTTAAAGAGTGTAAGGCATGACTTCCTAAATACAATTAAGTTATTAAAAAGTTTGTGGCTTGAGAAACATCTAAAAAGTTAAGCAAAAATATTGAACTTTAAGTAAATATATCATATTCATGCACAATTTTTTAGATGTTTCCTATATTCGCCTCGGATTTTTTATTAACGTTATCATATTCAGAAGGTTAGAATATATCAAAAAGGAAACTCTATTCTTTTTATTTACTTCACCTTCATGGGCAGAAATCGGTCTCTTTTTAACATTTTCTTTTCTAAATTCAAATGTAATTAAATACATACAAAAATATAACCTAATATTCAGAATGACTACAGAAAATAAAAAAATTTGTACTTACCGAATTGATCGATTAATAGGAGAATATTATTTTCAATAATTAGATCTCCATTTTCCAAACGATATGGAACGTGACGACCCACAATTGGATCAACGAGAGATGCTACGGTAGTAGCATCTTTCGTTGATGTCCATCCTTCGTTTTGTTCCATCCTGTCCATATTACTTCCCGCTAAAATAGTGGGATTTACTCTGTTAACCTCTGAAAATTCAGAGGTTGAAAAAGTTACTCTAGAGTACAACCCAATGACTTTACTCGATATTTCCGAACGCAATTGGTAAGTCAGTTTTGTACGACCCGAGTTAATTTCCGAACAGCGGTAAGATTTCTACTCCGAGTAGGATTTCCGAACGCACCCCTCTTAAGAGTAGAAACAGGAGAGTTCTCTGGCGTGGTGGGGGTGAGTCAAAAAACGTCCGCAGCTATTCACACGATGTGCAGTGGCACTGCGCATTGTGTGAAAGTTTGCGCATGCGCAAACATTGACAGAGACTATTCAAGATACATTTCTTCAGGTTACATTTCATCAATACATACCTCACAAAATTTGAATACTGTTCTTCGATTTTCTTTATCTCCAGGATCGAAGTCACAATTTCGAACACAACACACTCGCTCGATCATCGTAACTCACATCGGATTAAATTTTTACACGTTTTATATTCAGTCCAAGATTCAATCGAAAGACAAGTGGAAACAAAGTTTGTTTTAAAAAAATTTTGATTAAGGTACGTTAACATGCGCAGTCACGAATTGAAAAAGAAACGACTATATAGAGCGACAGAGAGGATTAATGAAGCGCAAGAGTGGGGGAAGTTATCCACTGCCACTTTTTGCCTCATCCGCTCTAACGCTATTGGCACGGAGTTGACTCTTCTATTTCTAATCTTCTTGACTGTGATTATATTTCAGGGCTCGTCCTCGACGATTGACAATGTAGTACCGTCTTCTCTCCCTCGTGGCGCCACAAGCTTCACAGCAGCCCTCAGACACGACCACTTTTAGCATGGCTACTTAATGTCCAAAGGCCGCCAAGCGACACTGGCAATAACGTATATATATGTACATACGTTCCGCTTGTTTCATTGTTTGTTGTAACATTATTTTAATGTTATTTTAATGCTCTGACCTGAAATAACATTATTTTAACGTTATTTCAACGTCCTGTGCTGCATGTGATATATTATGTGTTGCATGAATGTTGCCAGCGCCGCGTAGCGGCCTTTGAACATTAAGTAGTCATGCTAAAAGCCATGCTAACATGGATCTTGTCAGGGGGCTGCTTCAGAGTAACTATTTTTCTTTCCCTTCCCCATCATGCTCTATGCTTTCATGCTTCATAACGTTTTCTGTGCTTGAAGGAGTCACGACTGAGAAATACTGTGGTTAGAAAAAGCTATAATGTGAAAAAGAAGTGCGAAAGACGCGGAATTAGAGACCATGGTAAAAGTAACAAGGTGTGTTATTGCGCAGGTATTCTTGTACATTTTTGCTGGCCAATGAGAGAGCGACACTGAACTCAGTCATCTTGGGCAATTCAAATGCATATAATAAGGGAAGATTCATGCAAAGAAAGTAGAATGACTACAGTGAATAAATGTTACAAAAAAAGATATATTTTTTTATATATAGATGGTATAATTAGACTCAGTTGAATAAATCTATGTATGTGAGGCATTCTTTTACAAACCGAACACTTTTTTTTCGACATTTTTAAATCGCTTCAAATTTTTTTTTACCAATTGTAAGTAAAATAAAGCAAAAATAAGCGAACACGTGTATCGGGATTTTTTTTTTATTTATTTTCGAAGAAATAGCGATTTTTAATTTTGAGTTTTGCATTTTATGGTAATTTTCAAGTCGTCGTATCTACGTCATTTTTTATAGTAGAACAATTTTCTTTTCCATTTCAAACGCTATTACATCAACTTTTTGATGAAATTATGTTCCTAACCTCAACTTTAAAAAAAAAACTTTTTTCTGCAAATTAAATCTTAAAAGTTAATTTTGACCATGGCACCCGGAGTTAATTTATTTTTTACAAATACTATCGGATTCCTCGGAAAATTTACTAAAAAATATGAAAATTTCAGAATGGCGTTTTTAAAACTCGCCTGGGAATTAATTAAATA